AGGAGATGATGATTGTTGGTCCATTGAAAAATAAATTAAGGAGGTTGTGGTTAGAGTGGTTGACAGTGGAGATGGAGAATAGTAGGCTAGAAATACGAGGTAGGACTGATAGGAATTAGTGAATGATGGGATGCAGTGAGTAAAGGAGAAGGCATTGTCAAGGATAACCCTCAGGTTTCTGACGTGAGCAACTGAAGTATTAGTGGTGTTATTTTTTTAAAGATTATTTATTTATTTATTTAATAAATATAGAGAGAGAGGGAGGGAGGGAGAAAGCTTGCAGGCAAGCACGCATGCAGGGAGGAGGAGCAGAGGGAGAGGGCAAGAGACTCTTAAGCAGATTCTGCGCTCAGCACAGAGCCCAATGTGCACAGGGCTCAATCTCACAACTCTGAGATCAGGACCTGAGGTGAAACCAAGAGTCAGATGCTCAACCAGCTGTGCCACCCAGCTGACCCATAGTGGTGCTGTTTTTACTGAGCTAGGGAAAGATAGAGAAGGAGCAGTGTGGGGTAACTCAGAGATGACTAATTTGGTTTTGGACATGAGATTATGGTGCCTTTGTGAAATCTAAATGCAGATGTCAAATGGCTTGTTTGGGTACACTGGTATAGAGCTTGGAGAAGAGCTGAGATGGAGAGACAGAATTACTAGTATAGGGATGGTATTGGAAACTGGATGTAGGGCACCTGGGTGGCTCAGTTGTTAAGCATCTGCCTTTGGCTCAGGACATCATCCCAGGGTCCTGGGATCAAGCCCCGCATCGGGCTCCCTCCTCCGCAGGAAGCCTGCTTCTCCCTCTCCCGCTCCCCCTGCTTGTGTTCCCTCTCTCACTGTCTCTCTCTCTGTCACATGAAATCTTTAAAAAAAAAACAAAACAAAACTGGATGTAGAAGAGGGTTACTTTGAGGGGTGTGAGAAGGACCTAGTTCTAGGACTAACACCCGAGGTTTGGTAGAGGAAGTTGTCTATAAAGTAGGCTGAGAAGGAGTAACCAGAAGAAGGGAACCCTGGGAAACCAAAGAAAAACATTAGCTTAAGGAGGAGAGGCGGGTGGTTAAGCATAGAATGCTGCCTAGACATCAAGATGAGGGCCAAACTGGTCGTTTGCTTTAAATGTACCAGGGGTCGTTAATGACCCTGATAAGAACTGTTCTACAGGTTTAATAAAAGCAGATGTCAGATGGGATTGGGTTGGAGGAGTACGAGAGGTAAGGAAATAGAGGCAGGGAATTTAGACAGCTCTCTTAATGAGGTTGTGAGAAGAGAATGGTTTCTGGAGGAGATGAGAGGTTGAGGCGGTAAGTAGGAGAATTTTTTCAAATGAATGAGTAAATGGATGGACGGACGATCCATTTGAGTGTGAGAAGTTGATGAATGCCAAAGAATAATCACTAAGGCTCTAAGGAAATGAGGGGGGATTAACTGTAATACCCATGTAGAAGGGGACCGCCTTTAGAGTGGAGGGAAGAACAGCATGGTGGAAAATGTTCTTCTAAGGAAATAAATGCTGTATGTTATATATTTACTACTTTATTGTGAATTTACTATTAAACTGGGTGGTTGAGAGCCTTTTATCCCATTTGTAAGATGCAACTATCATTCAATAGTTTTATCTTTTTCTACTGCCAGCTACTTTTGATTACCTCTACCAAGAAAACCCACGTTTTTTCCCAGACCAAAAACAATATATGCAGTAAATACTCTGTTGGGGAGGGTTACCCTGTACACATGACCTCTTTCCCCCATGTTTAGAGTACTTTATTTTTATTCTACTGCAGGGAGTTTTGTTAGAGCTTGTATTTTCACTTCCTGTGACTTTTTTTTCTTGTTTTATGAATTATGACAATATTTCACTACAGGGGGGAGACTCTAATAGACTTCACTGACTAAATTTGACCTAAGCAGTAGTTGGTTGGTATCATGAGCAGAAAGGTACCAACTCCCTTTTTCTTCAGAAGACTTTAAAGTAGACTTTTATGTTTGAGTGGGGTTTTGAATAGGCAATACTTGTACATGATAGTAGAATCAAGAGGTAAAAACTACGTACGGTAAAAAGGTGTTTTGACTCCTGTTCTCTCATTCGCTTTCTTTCCTTGCCAAAGTAGCTGGTGTTAACTATTTTCTTAAGTATCCTCCCAGGGATTCTGTACATCTACAGACGAACTCACGTATAAATATAATTTTGTTCTTTATTTACACTAGTGGTATAATGTACCTTTTTTATTCATTTAACATTATGTATTGAAAATTGCTCCATATTAGTGTATTAAAGAACTTTTTTGTCCTTTATGGGCACATTGTATGGACGTATTACTATTAGCTAACTGGTGTCCTATTTATGGTTGATGCTAGTGTTTGTGATTAAAATTGTTTTTTTAGGCAGCAGAAGTCATTGTAGATCTAAATAAACTTAAATGTAAGGATCTTGAAAGATAATTGAGTTGTCATATTGAAAGACAATGATGTCATGTTTTCTTACAAAGAAAAACAGTTTAGATTTATTTGTCCTACCCACACAATTTATTTACTGAACAAACAGGAGTTTTATGGTCATATTAACATATTTACCTTTCCACCTGATGTTATATTATGTACTTTGAAAAGGTCCAGTGCTTCCTGCTTTCAAAAACTAGTTCAAGACTTTTGATTCTTGTGCTTTATGGCTGACATTAATTTCATTTGAGTATATTTCTCAGATATTTCATCTGTAAGAAAAATTTTTATTCTGGAATATATAACATTCTCTACAGAAGAATCAACTCTTGTTTCTATTTAGTTACAAAATCTTGGTTTATTCCTTATATTTGGGGTATTTCATATCTCAGTATTTTATTTCCTGTTTGTATTGCCAACGTGCTTCAGTTATGACACTGGCAGTTTGCCGGTTTAACTTTTACTCCCTCTGTTGGCTTTCAGAGGTGTTACATTCCGTTTGGAATGGTGTTAGGAATAACATTTATGCTTTTTTTCATTTAAGTCAAAAATTAGTAATGATGCAAATATGAAATAGGCTACATATGGGATTGTTTTACATTAATGAATGTTTCCAGTGGCCGTGAATATTCTGGTTTTCATGAATGTGTTGAGGAACCTTCATCAGAATGTCTGTTTCATCAGCAGCTGAGAACAAGGCCATGAAAAACAAAAAATAGGAATATAGAATATTCATGTTTATAGTAAGCAAAAAATAGGCGTGGCATGTTAGAGCAATAAAAGGATTTTCTGAATATCTTCTAGTTGCCGTCTACCATATATTAAACTGTCAAGTAATAGAGTTGATAGAGTGAAGTGATGAAGATGTCTTATGGCATCTGATTAGCACACCATCTAGCTCAGTGTTTGTGTCTGTTACCAGTGGGACATCATGATAATTGCCTTCTATAACATTATATGTACAGAATGAGGTATTTACTTGCTTTGCACATTCTTAGCACCATCCTTTTAAAACCAAACCATCAGTTAATGGAGTTTGCTTTGTATAGGTCACAGCTCTTGTAGTTAAAGATTATGTCCTGTTTCTCCATGATTAAGTAGAGTTGTTGCACACTCAGTAGGGGAAGGATGTTAGGTTCTAAAGTTAGCATATAGGTGCACCTGGGTAGCTCAGTGAGTTGAACATCCAACTCTTGGTTTCCGCTCAGGTCATGATCTCAGGGTCTTGGGATCCAGCCCTGAGCTCAGCGAGGACTCTGCTTGAGATTCTCTCCCTTTCCCTCTCCCTCCTCCTCTGCCCCTCTTCCAGTCATGGTCTCTCTCTCTCTCAAATAAATAAAATCTTAAAAAAAAAAAATAAATAAAGTCAGGGATGCCTGGGTGGCTCAAGTTCGTTAAGCGGCTGCCTTCGGCTCAGGTCATAATCCCAGAGTCCTGGGATCGAGCCCCACGTCGTTGGGCTCCCTGCTCCTTGGAGAGCCTGCTTCTCCCTCTCCCTCTGCCTGCCTCTCTGCCTACTTGTGCTCTCTGTCAAATAAATAAATAAAATCTTAAAAAAAATAAAGCATATAAGGTGGAAAATATGTGTAGGGTGTTTTCTCTTAAACTCCTTAAGTCATTCATAGACTAGAATGTACTAGGTTTTCTGGGTTCACAAAGTAGTTGATCTGTATTTAGTGGCTCTGTTTATGAAACAAAACATGTTGAAACACTAGACTCACATTCAGCCTGAAGAGAGGTATGTGGGAACTCGGAAGGATTGTGAGGAAACAGCATAGTCAGGCCTGGCCTCTTAATACCCCTGTAGAGCAACTCTTCCTGAGGGGAATAGCAGATAGGTTTGATGCATACAATTACTTTGAGTGCTCATTTGCCAAATACATATAATTGAAAGTTTTTTTTTTTTAATGTGTGTACATTTGATGTTACTCCACTATAACGTCCTCTCTTTGAGGATTTGAGTATAAAAGTAATCATTCTAGCTAACTTGTTTTTTTTTTTTTTTTTTTTAAGATTTTATTTATTTATTCATGAAAGACAGAGAGAGAGAAGCAGAGGGAGAAGCACGTTCCCAAGGAGCAGGGAGCCCGATGCGGGGCTCCATCCCAGGACCCTGGGATCATGACCTGAGCCGAAGGCAGACGCCCAACCATCTGAGCCACCCAGGCGCCCATAGCTAACTTGTTTTTGAGACTAGTTTTTTTGAAGCATTCTTTTTCATATATGTTAAAGTCAGAACATACACATTTAACTGTATCAGAGTTTTGAGGACCCCTTTCTTGAACATTTTAAGTAACGTTTTAAAATTGAAAATCCTTGTTTGGTTCCTTGCTGGGCTTGCAAGTTCAGTAATTGAGGATTAATATTATGCCATTTTTAGTAGTTGTATATGCTAGTATTTTGATAGTACTGAGTCCTTTGAATTTGACTGTTAAGCAGATGACAGGTACATTTTAAAGGCCTGTGTGATGGTAACTTTTGCTACTAATTTAGAAAGGTAGGCATGTTGTGCTGATTAAATAATCTTCCATTTCTGTTTATTGATTTTGTGTGTTTTTGTACAGGTTACTTTCCTGTTGCACCTTTGACCTAGTTTCCTAGACTCTGCTCCATGATTTAACTTGAAAGTCTGAAATGAAGATGGAGGAGGCAGTGGGAAAAGTCGAAGAACTCATTGAGTCTGAAGTCCCACCAAAAACATCCGAACAAGAGACAGCTAAGGAGGAAGATGGATCTGTAGAACTGGAATCTCAAGTTCAGAAAGATGGGGTAGTGGATTCTACAGTTCTTTCTTCAATGCCCTGCTTATTGATGGAACTGAGAAGGGACTCTTCTGAGTCTCAGTTAGCATCCACAGAAAGTGACAAGCCAACCACTGGCCGAGTTTATGAGAGTGACTCCTCTAATCACTGCATGCTTTCCCCTTCCTCTAGTGGTCACCTGGCTGATTCAGACACGTTGTCTTCTGCAGAAGAGAATGAACCCTCCCAGGCAGAAACAGCGGTGGAAGGAGACCCTTCTGGAGTATCTGGTGCCACAGTTGGGCGCAAGTCTCGGCGTTCCCGATCTGAAAGTGAAACATCTACTATGGCAGCCAAGAAAAACCGGCAATCCAGTGATAAACAGAATGGCCGAGTCGCCAAGGTTAAAGGTCATCGGAGCCAAAAGCACAAGGAGAGAATCAGGCTACTGAGACAGAAAAGGGAGGCTGCTGCGCGGAAGAAGTATAACCTATTGCAGGACAGTAGTACCAGTGATAGTGACCTGACTTGTGACTCAAGCACGAGCTCATCAGATGATGATGAAGAGGTTTCAGGGAGCAGCAAGACAATCACTGCAGAGATACCAGGTAGAGGATGTTTTTTAAACTGACTGTAGAGCGACCGATGGCATTTCTAAGCTGTCAGGCTCAGTTAGATGAGTGACACTTGAAAAAATCCAGGAGACCTGCAGCTCTGTGTAAATTTGAAGACTGCAGTGTATTAACAAGACATGGCCAATTTTAAAAACCTGTTCTGAGGTTTCCAGTGCACTTTAGCACGTCAGCAAAAAAATATTTAAATGGTTAATGATAGGGACAAGATTATTTTTAAGTAATGGAATTTCTCACACGTCTCTTTCTCTGTAACACATTATCTGAACTCCCATCATTGCCTTTTTAGCACTGCTTAGGTTTAATACTCACTGTTCAGCATTATTACTAAGTAAATTCTCCTCAGGAATAGGCACTTTGCTTTATTATATAGCCACTGTACTCAAGCTGATGGTGTCTGAAATGACATGTTCTATCTTCCATTAAAGTTTTCTAGTATCTGTTCCTCCTAAAACAGTAGTTTTATGAGTTTTCCCCCAGTTCAGTGCATGATGAGATAGTTACCTTGTTGTACATTTTTCTATTCTAAGTTGTCCCTTGCATTGGAAAGAATGCTTTTTTGCAGTATTTTCCCTTTACTCTCCCAAGCTTTAAGAAGCTTGATAGAAATCTGCTTATTCTAGCTCTCACTGGTATAAGGGTGTATAATTTATTACATGTTAGACATTATCTGCTTTTTCCATATTATCATGACTGGTACTGTGTACTACAAAGGCAGTCTTGAGATTTCAAGGTGGAAGAAAGAGGAGGTTTGAATGGTTCTTAATTGGTGAATTCTTGTTATTGAAGAGACTCTTATGATTAGGAACATTATGTACCTGGCATTTAATAGATGATGACAGCATTGTTTATTGCTACATTAAAGAAGGGGAGGTTTTGATTTTTAAAATTTTATGGGTGACTGTTCTTTCCTCTTAGTTTTCTGAAAAGTTTGTTTCTATACACGAAGACAGCATATTGCTGATCTTCAAAGAATATTTCAAGAAAAATCATATTGGTTAATTAAGCCTGTAGCCAGCTAAATTTACAATAAACTCAGTAACAATGATCCTATAGGTGTTCATCTTATTATAATAAAAGTCTCATCCATATAGTATATTAAATATGAGTTTTTAACAATTAGAAATGCTTACTGTTTTAATATCTGTTGAATTCCTTTGGTAGTTCCTTGTGTTAAAATTGCTGGGAAGGTGGTTTATTTGAAGTTCATCAGTTGAATGCATGAGAGAAGCAGACTTTGGGGTTGTTCTCAGGCAGATTCTAGGTATATTTCAGTTTTGCATTTGATATTTTTAGAACGGTTGATTAACGCCTGTAAAATTATTTGTTCATGCATTCTTATGTCCTGTGTTCTGATCTGTTAATCAAGATCATAATGATACAGTGCTTAATTTCACTCACTAAACAGATTTTAATGTAACCACCCCAGTATTTTGCCTCCTTATGGAAAGGGAGAAAAAGGTGGGTAAACAACAAAATAGACCCAGTTATAGAGGTGGCATGAGAAATGTGTTCATGGGCACTCTCCTGTTTGGCTTACATAGATTAGGTGTGCTTTGTTTATATTATCTAAACCTCTTTGCTAATTGACTACTTTCACCAGTGTTTAAAACTTCTAAAACCCTGGTGGTCTGTTTCTCGTCTGTTCTGAATTTTATACAAACCAAAACACCAAAGTAAGTTATCTTACTGAATCTATGATTTAATTTCTCTCATTCACACCATTTAGTAAGTTTGTGGCTTTTGAAAGTTTGTAGAGTTTTCTAAGGTGATCCCTGGAAAATCAAATGGTAAGGTGCCGGGCCGCTATATATGACTGCCTACACTGTGCGTAGTGCACAGTTTCAGGAGGTGCTGTTCATATAAGCGGGCATGCAAAGCAGCAAGGATGGAACAGCCCAAGTTTAAATATTAGGAAGTTCCTTTCAACTGTCTATATTGCTACCCCTAAAAAATTGTGACATCGTGCATTTTTAATGTAATAGTTACGTATATGTCAGTTTCCTGAGTCACATTATGACTTCAGGGAAGGGGATACACTCAACCTAAAAGCAAGGGCAATTGTTGAAAAGTTGTATAAATTGTAAAGATTGGATAAATTATGAACTGACCTGAGTGCAGCAACATAGACATTCAGGTGAACTTAAACTGGATGTGCCTGACAGAATCTGTTGGATGTTGACATTTGAATCAAGCTGTTTACACAGAATGGAAATCAAGAGGAAAAGTAAAAACTGAGATTCTTGTTATCCTTTTTCATCAAGGTACAACTAATTTAGTAATTCAGAAAATGCTTCATTTATAAGCTTTGTCAGCAGCATAAATGTTGAAGGAATTAGGCTAAATGTTCTTATGCCAAATTTACAATTAATGCATTTTCTTTTTTCATTTTTATTTTTTCATGCATTTTCTTTTAAAGAGTGAAAATGATGGAGACTTCTGTATTCTATAGTGCATGATCATGCTTAATTGAGTTCGATATCTGGAAATAGATGTTTATGAAGATTGTTTTTTACTTAACAGTTAACTGACAGGCAGCTAATTATCCACACTGAATCATTCTCTCCATGAGGTTTTTGAGACTATATTGCTGTTTTAAGAATCTGTTTGGAGATATCATATCAAGATAATTCTGGCAGTTCTTGCATTTGGGGGACTTAGAGATGGGCAAAAATATAGAGTATTTTGTAGTGAATATTAATGTGAAAATACTTGGTAGTGGTCTTGTGTATTAAAGGCTTTTAATCAAATATCTCATTTATCTTTATAGATGACCTTTTTGTACTTTTAATCACTCCTTGCAGTTTTATGGTGGGATGTCACTTCTCTGTAAAATCACTTTAAGTTGAAACTAGTTCTGTAAAGTCCGCTCTTGCAGGGAATTTTGATTTTAGTGAATATGAATAATGGACATCAGACTCCATTCAGTTAAAGAAATCAGTTCTCTGAACAGACTTACGTCCATCAGTGTACATGGGCAGCAGGGAAAAGTTTTTCCAATAACTTTTTTTTTAAAGATTTTATTTATTTGAGATAGCGAGCAAGAGAGCAGGAGTGGGGGAGCAGAGGGAAAGGGAGATGCAGACTCCCCACTGAGCAGGGAGCCTGATGGGGGCTCGATCCCAGGACCCCAGGATCATGACCTGAGCTGAAGGCAGAGGCTTAACCGACTTCACCCAGGGGCCCATACCTGTTGTTTTTAGCATAGAGTAAACCTCAGGGTGGCTTTGTCTTGTCTTGGCTATAATGACCTGCTTTTGTGTGGTTTAATAGTCTACCATATAAATGCCTCTTCAGACAGGTTCCAAAAATAGTATCCACCTTCATAGGTAAGGGTCAGTTTTGTTTGCATTTAGAAAATCTAATTTTGCATTTAGGAAATACCTATTTCAGACAATGTCAGGGAGGCTGTTGAGGACAACTAAGATCACCTAATTCTCAGTCCATGTGGCCAGGTCCAGCCCCACTGAAGCCAGGATCTCAGTACCCCTTACTCACCATACACACATGCGCTGAAATGCACCCTGATAAGCTATTATCTTACCTCACAGTGTTTCTGAAGCAGAGACTTACTATGCTTCATCAATTAATTCTTGTTTGAAAATAAAAAAGAATTTTTTTAAGTAGTAAATGCTTTGTAGAAAATTTTGAAAATAGAAAAATGTGAAGTAAAAGATTAAAATCTTTCACAATCCTGCTTTTGTTAACATTTGAGTATGTTGCCTTTCATAATATGTAACAAAATTTATCACCCTATGTATACTTCTATCTTCCTTTCCCTCTTAACATTGCGTTTTGCACATTTTAACTAAACACAATATTCTCCCTAAAATGTATGGATTTTGAATTATTTAGTTAACTATAAGATAAATTCCCCAATGTTTGGCCTTTGGGCTGCTATTATGAGAAAAGGCTATGAATACTTTAAGGCTCTTGACACATACTGTCAAACTGTTTTTTAAAATATATTAAGTTTATTGCATCCAGGAGTTTGTGTATTCGTTGCATTATGTTCTTTTTATTGAATATATATATTTTTAAAAACTCTTGCTGAGGGGCGCCTGGGTGGCTCAGTTGGTTAAGCGTCTGCCTTCGGCTCAGGTCATGATCCCAGAGTCCTGGGATCGAGCCCTGCATCAGGCTCCCTGCTCAGCGAGGAGCCTGCTTCTCCCTCTCCCATTCCCCCTGCTTGTGTTCCCTCTCTAGCTTTGTCGCTCTCTGTCAAATAAATAAAATCTTTAAAAAAAAAACAAAACTTGCTGATTTGATGGAAGAATTGTATCTTAGTGTTAATTTCCATTTCTTTGATCACTAGTGAAGCTGAAAAATCATGTTTGGCCATTTGTTATTTTGGTAAACATTCTATTCATATTCTTTGCACATTTTCCTTCTGCCACATTTGTTTTTCTTACTGATTTGTGAGGGTTCTTAGCCTGTTGAGGATTGAATTACTTGAAAAATTTTTATATTAAGCAGTGGGAACTCATGGGAGAAGACCCCAAACCCACATCAGCGGTCCTATAAATTTTTTCCTAGATTGAATATGAGTGGCTACAAGCTCCACCTTCCTATTTTAAGCCTCTTATAATCTTACTGTATTTTGGTGGCTATTTAGGAGACTCACTAAATACATTGATAACAAATACACTGAGACATAGTAATCAGGTGAAAACTGCCTATTTTCAGCTTAGTAAATGCAAACAAGGCAGGTGAAATCCGTGCAGTTTTCCGTCTGACTATAGGTTAGAATCACTTGGGAGCATTTAAAACTAATGATGCCCAGGCCCCACGCCAGACCAATTAAATCAATCTCTGGGTTTCACCTAAGGCATCAGCATTTTTTCCATGCTTTTTTGAGATACAGTTGACATATAACATCATATAAGTTGAAGGTGTACAATGTGATGATTTGATGTATGTATATATTGCAAAATGATTACTACTGTAGGTTTAGTTAACAAATCTATCACTTCACA